CGAGTTCAACAAAACATATTCAGAGTGCAATACATGGGAAGTGTCCGATAAAATGCCCTTGGCCTGTGTGATTGTGGCCTGCTCAAAAAGATCCTGGGGGGTAAGAGGGGCACACATTCCCATGATCTTGCCTGCTGTCTTAACCAGGCTGAGGATCTGAGCTTTATGGACTCTGTTGTTGCTCTGTAAAAGATGAACATAATGTTTTTTACATGCACCTCACATACACTGGTGAGAGAGAATTGACATTGATAAGCTTGGCAGTGCTCTAAAAGTTTTACTATTTTCAAGTGAAAGCTGTGAGCACAGCAGCTGGAGTTGAGGATGCTGAGCTCTGAAAAGGCTGAACTGATTTGGTTTTGCATAGAAATGGTCGCTGCCAGTGCAGAAGACGACATGAGTGGACACAGGCTCTTCCTATGGAGTTTATTAAATAACTAATGTTCAGTTTCTGAGCAGTACAAGTGTTTAAATATAGAGGAGGCAGAGAGCAGAAAGTGATTAAGCCAACATATCACTGTACTGTTAAAGGACTGCGGTGAGAATAAAATCTGAATAAGATGTTTTTTTTGTGTTTGGGTTTCAGGTGACGGACACACTCGAGTACATTAAGTCGGACCACCATGTGGACCTGCAGTGTTACTACACCGAGCTGGGCTCCCTGAAGTGTGAATACCCCGAGGCCAGCATCATGTCAGGTCCGCACAACGCGCTCGAGTCCATCCACATGGCCGAGCTCCGCACCGAGCTCAACAAGCTGCGGCCCGACGCGCTACTCCTGGACGGCATGGGCAAATCGGACCCTGAGCTCGGAGGTGGGGTTCTGTACGAGCTGCAGCCAGCACAGGACAGGAAGGCTACAGCTGAGGGGAGCGGAGGTGCTGTGCCTACAACCAAAACACAGAACCCGACTGCGAGGAAACCTAGAAACATGCTGGGCGAGAAGCCGTTCTCGTGCACGCAATGTGGCAAGAACTTCAGCACGCTGGGAAACCTGAAGACGCACCAACGCATCCACACCGGGGAGCGACCCTACACCTGCTCGCAGTGCGGCAAGAGCTTCGGCCAGGCCGGGAACCTCAAACGCCACCAGCTTATCCACACGGGCCAGAAGCCGTACGTATGCGCTCACTGCCCCAAAGGATTCACCAAAGCGGATGACCTGCGCTCGCACCAGCGCCTGCACACCGGCGAGCGTCCGTTCATCTGCGTCACCTGCGGAAAGAGCTTCGGCCAGTCCAAAGAGCTGAAGGCTCACCAGTTGAGCCACACGGGCGAGCGGCCGTTCTGCTGCCAGCACTGCGGCAAGAGCTTCAGCAAAGAGTCCAGCTACCAGAACCACGTGCAGATCCACACAGGCGAGAAGCCCTTCACCTGCTCGCAGTGCGGAAAGACATTCAGCAACTCGGGCGTCTTAAAGACCCACGAGAAGATCCACTCGGGCGAGCGGCCGTTTGGCTGCACGCAGTGTGGGAAGAGCTTCGGCCGCCTCGGACACCTGAAGGCCCACCAGCAGATCCACACGGGGGAGCGGCCGTACGCCTGCCCCCACTGTGGGAAGACTTTCAGCCAGTCAGGTCACCTAAAAGCTCACGAGCAGATCCACAAGCGAGAGCGCGTGGACACGGCGAGTAGCAGCAGCAGCAGCAGCAGCGTGGGCAGCGACAGCAGCTAAAAGCGACTCAAACACCCTTTAACCTCGCGCAAAAACACAAAGTATTATTCCTCTTTTTTTATAAAAAACATATATTACCTTTCCTTATCAAACTTTTCTTACATTTTCATACCTTTTGTGCTCTTTTTATCTGTGGGCAGGGCGACTCTGACTCATTTGCTCTTATGCAAGTGTCTCTGTGTGTGTGTGTGTGTGTGTGTACGTATGTGTGTGTGTGCGCGCGTGTTGTGGTCGTGTGTATGGGTGTAGATACTCTGTAAACTGGTCTGAGTGTTGAGTCCAGGTCCCAGGACTTACTTTGGAGTACTTATTGATACACAAGCACAAATACTGCAGTACCCCAGTCTGAGTACTTCTTAAGTTTTTTTTTTACTGAAACAGACCAGCAGCTCCGGACTGACCAGGACCCTGCTCACGGAAAACACAGCTTTGTTAATTTTTTACTGTTCCTAGAGCAGTATTGGACAGAAAGTACTTCAGAGAGAGTACATGTACGTACACTTCAGAGTCACGTTCTGTGTGTTACTGTAAACCTGAGTTAATCGGTCATAGAGTGTGAACAACACAGCAGAAGAAATGTTTTACAGTGAAATCAGAATTCAGCTCGTCACTTCAAGTGTCTTTTTCTTACCTGGATTAAATCCAGGGGAGATTCTGCACACAAACAAATCTGATGACAATCTATATTTTATTCCTGTGATTGATTTGAATGAGGGTCGGTCCTGCTCCAGTCCAGAGGAGACGCTGATTTAAACTGAGATTTGGAAGTTAAAGAATCAGCTAATCTATCATAGCTGAGTTTTTTCATTTCATTTGAACACAAACACTCAAAGTTAAGGCTTGAATAATCACAGTATTTCTCTGTGATGATTTTGTTTTCCAGCTTTAATGGATAAAAAAGGACATCAGAGGTAAAAAAAAAAAAGAAAAGATCACTGTGTTTTTTCCTTTTTTCTTTTACATTAGTGCTCTAATTGTGTCTTGTTTTATAAACCCAGCAAACCTCTCAATTTTTTCTATGATGCGTTATGACCATACAATTCTTAAAGATTCAGGCAGATTTATCTTCTGTACGGCACAACAAAAACTCCATCATCATTTAGTCCTTCATTTTAAATTCAAATTCTAATACAAAATCTGGATTTGTCGTTTGTCTGAGATGCTATTTGATTAGATTGTCTAAAAGTTTTTCTGTCTCCAATGAGGGTTTTAGTTATCTTTAGCAAACGACTTCAAATCAAAGCACAGATGGTATTAACATTCATTAGTGTAATTATTTTTTAAGCCTGAGTTCTGTCAAACGGCAGCAGGTAGAAAATGTGTTTGAGATTAAAAAAAAACATGCAGGTTGTTACTTTCAAGAACTTTTGGAGAATCTGAAATAATGTTTTCAGAATCCGATCTCCCTCCATGAGATCAAAACTCATCTTTGCCTTTACACGTGTTTGGTAAGCAGGGTCCTGGTTCATATTCCTCAGTGTAAGTGTTAAAGTACTCCGGAGTACTTTTCAATCTTTGCCAAGCGTGAGTACTTATTTTGGAGTACTTGCTGCCAGTTTTGTAGTATTTCCTTACAGGTATGGGTACTTGCAGGTGTACACTCTTGTTACTGTACTGTAAAATATCTGATGATATCATTTAGATATATCTTTTCAACCAGTATTGATTGATTGATTGATTAATCAGGACACATTATCTTTTTTGTTGTTGATGATGATGATAATCTGCTGATGACATTCCTTCAAATCATTCCAGTTACATGATGAACTCCAACAGGACCAAACACATCAGCGACCCCCCCCCCCCCTTTCAGATCGCTCACTGTGTACAAATCTTCTATTGATAATGTCATTCCTAAAAAAAACTTTGAAATATGAAAAAAAAAAAATACTGCAGCAAAAAAGAGCAAATTGATGCAGCATCTTGTACTGGAAACAGAATTATTAAAGAAACTAATGACACATCTCGTTTTCTGTTGTCTTTGCACTGAACACTGAAGCGCCAAAAAAACTGCAGTTCCTCAAGTGTCCACTTGGCGTATCTTCAATAAGTGAGTTAATCCTGTTAAAATGTCCAGCTTAAACAGCAGAAATAAACATGTTTACTGCCTTGTACAAGGTCTCAAAAGTGTGTTTTTTAACTGGTTAAAACTACTCTGTTGAGTTTTTAATATAACTCACCTGATGAAACTATGCTAAGACTTAGAGTGACAGGTGGGAGCTGCTAGCTGTCTGCATGGTGGGATCATAGACTAGATATTAATGGATGAAGCCGGAGCAACGTCAGCCAGGCAGGAGGCTCATTGGTAGCCCCCGTCATGCCATTCACCATAACCCGCCTGTTAGCTCACAGAGTCTTTGTCATACGTTGATTTATTGGTGGCAGCCTGAGCATTGGGAGTCAGGATTGTTGTTGGCCTTCCCTGCAGGGACCCTTCAAGGGATGCTACACCCTAATTGAGACACAGCTAATTACATTCACTAATGAAGACTGAGATTTAATTATGAAAAATCCACTTCCACAGTGTTTTTGATCATATATTCTGGTAACCTGAGTGTCTACCGACCCACAGAATGTGAAATAACTCCATCCATTCCTTTGTTTGTGGTCTGCATAAGTCTTACAACAGAGAAAAATGCTCCGTTTCAAATTTGCCCTCCTTGTGATGTCACAGTGGGATTCTGGTTAAAAAAAAAATCCCCTGCCCTTCCCTGGTGTCTCCATCCATGGACTCCACCCCCAGCGTAGAGCAAAACTTTTGCACAGGTCTGCCATATGTATTCTCGCTAGGGAAGGAGTGATGTCTACCGGGGGGTGCTCATTGTATTTAAAGAGACACACACACCAAAACAGAGCGTTCTGAGAGAGCTGGTTTATACAGGGTCACAAACCTCCTCTGGTGCTTGACTCATGTTATATTTTGACCACAGAACAGATGTTTCATTTAGACCACAGGGGGGCTGTTTGAAAAGGTGGAGAAAGGGGGATAGTATGTCCTCTTTAATTGAAAGCTCTGTGAAGAAGCTTCGGCGTAACCTGCTTTCTATAATGCATCTATGTGATCTATAATGCATCCAGCTCCTTGTTGTTCCTGGAGATTTCAAATAAATATTTAAACCTTCATTAGCAGGTGGGATGTTCATTAGTCATTGATTCTGCTGAGAAGATCATACATAAGTTAATAACTTTGGCACCCTCAATACGATCCTTTGTTGGGATTTTGTTTTTTTAATACATAATAAATGTTTTTCAAATATCAACTGAACCATTTATGTTGAAGGGTTTTCATTAAGTTTTTCTTCAGAGACTTTCGGACACATTTGTATGAGTTAAGTAAAGTTTTATTCCTTGCAGCATCAGACAGAAGATTTTTTTTTAAACTCATTCCCTGCCAAGGCTTACAAGGTTCAATCCCCCCTCTAACACCCAGAATCTATGGAGTCATTGTGAATTAAAGCTGAGTAGAGAATGAAGTGATAGATCTGCAGCCTGGGTCGGCATGCAGAGAGTTAATTGGTTGAGGCTTGACTTCGGTTCAGACAGACGTGTAAGTGGTCTCAGGCCGTCTCTTCCACCTCGATGACCTTTGTGACGACTGTGGTGGTGGTGGTGGTGGAGGAGGAGGAGGAGGAACTGCCGTTCATGGCAGAGGAGGCCAAACCAGAGGAGGACATGGAGGAGGAGACCATTGAAGATCTGAGAGAGAGAGAGAGAGCAAAGATGATACAGGAAGTCAGAGAAACACAAGAACACCAAGTGAAATTATGTTTTCAATAATGAATGGCTGTTTTCAATCACTAATATTGGGTATTTTCCAGATTTATTTGAACATTTTTATATGGTAGTTAAAATGGCCAACACCCGAATTCAACAAGAGTCTTTGGCCAGTGTCGTGGGTGAAATGCTTTCTACTTTTGTATTCTGAAAATCAATCAAAGAAATCTCGGTTCAAACAATTTGAAGTTGAGTCATTCCTTGAGAACTGTTTTTTGAATCATTGGTTTCCAGATTTCCCTGTATGCCTTGTGATCACCCCCTCTTTTAGGAGAGAACTATATAACATCTTGTTTTGGGATAAAAAAACAAACACATTTTTAACAAATGGTCTCTCTCTCAAAGGATCTTTTGTTAAAGTTAACGTTGCAGCCATTACAGCCTATTTCACGTGTGTAAAACAATCTAGCGGGGCAATTACAACATTTTTGGTGCCTTTTAGTCCCTTTGTTCCCAAAACAAGTGATAAAATACAAATAGTGCCGAGGATTCAATAAAGAAATAAATGATCCTCAAAGTTCGAAGCAGAAATAAATCTGTGATCTCTTCTTACAAAGCTCCCTCTCCGTCCATCAGCCTCCTGTACTCGGCGATCTCCATCTCCAGCCTGGTCTTGATGTCCAGCAGCATCTGGTACTCCTGTCCCTGACGCTCCAGGTCGGCTCTCAGCTGAACCAGCTGCTCCTCCAGACTGGTCACCTGCACACAGGTACACTCAGTGTCAGAGCTGATGCTCAAAAAAATCCAATACTGACTTTAATGTGCTGCTAGCAGTCGTAACAGCTCACCTGACACTGATATGCGTTCATCTGCATGCCATAGCGGCTCTGGACCTCGCTCAGTGTGGCTTCAAGAGACGCTTTCTGCAGAGTGACAAACCAGTTAGAGGGTAGAAACTGGACCTGAGTGTCACATTTGATCATTTTTTACCTACATATATGTTAAATAATTTATTATTTGGTTCCTTTTTGATAAAAAAAAAAAAGGATCTTTAGTGTGTCTTTATTTTGACATCGCCTGTCCTCCATGTGTCATTCTTTGAATGATGAAGAAGGTAATTAATAAACAGTAACTAAAGACTCTTGATGAAAGTAACAATAAAATATAAACATGGATCTTCTTAAAACACTGAAACATTGGTTTCGATCAGGAATCAATCAACGCTGCCAAGTGCTACAAGTGTCCTCACCATGCTGAGTTGTGACTGGAGCTCGATCTCCAGACCCTGAAGCTGACTCTTCACATCCTTCACCTCTGTTGATGTTGATTTCATCGTCATCTCTGTTGTTGCCACTTCCTGACTGATCTCCGCCGACTGAGACAAGAGAATAAGGAGAAGGTCACTAAAACAAAGAGAACGAAAACCCACAGGTGTGGAGATGTGCAGGTTCTGTTCCCCACCTTAGCCTGGAACCAGGACTCGAGCTCTCTCTGGCCCTTGGCGGCAGATGCCTCATACGTCTCTCTGATTTCCTCCAAGACTCTAGTGAGGTCAGCCTGAGGGGCGGCGTCCACCTCCACGTTCACCTGCCCGCTCATTTGAGTGCGCATGGACATCAGGTCCTGCAGGAGGAGGAGGGGTTAGTCAGCTGATCATTACGGTCTGAATGTCAGGGATTGAAACATGACCAAAGATGGACATGACAGCTCCCAAAACATTAAGAGTCAACAATTTTATTTCGCTCGCACTGACTGGTTGTTGTATAGGTCATAAAGCCCAATTCCTCCATGTTAGCAGATGGGAAACGTTTAGCCAAGAAAATCAGAAAAATGTCAAATACAATTTTCTTAAACATAGTTTCAATCATTATAGTTATTTCTTATTTCATTACCTCCTCGTGGTTCTTCTTCATGGACACCAGCTCTTCCCTCAGAGACTCTGTCTGCATGATCAGGTCGGTCTTGGCCACGCCCATTTCTCCCAGCAGCATCTTCAGACCGGCAATGTCGGCCTCAACTGACTGACGCATCGACAGCTCGTTCTCAAACCTGCATCGGGTTATACGGCATCAAAGTACGGTCAAAAAGGACTCAGAGTCTAAGGAATGATAATAGTCAGTGCAGGTTTCTCAAAATGATTCCTATATAATAAGTCTTTGCTTCGCAGAACTCAGCATGTTATTGAGTGAATCAAGTTGCTGCATTCCCCACAGTGGCCACCAGGGGGGGAGTGATGCTGCTTATAATGAGGAGGATCTGTATCTCTGAGGACGGAGAAACAGTCTGACAGACTCTCTCTGGATCTATCGTATGTGAATGATTATTGTTTGTTTCGTGTTTCACATTTTGCAGGAAAGAAAAATGAACTGAAAAGTTAACGTTACTGACTTCATTCTGAAGTCGTCCTGAGCCAGCTTGGCGTTATCGATGCTCAGCATGACTGTTGCTTTGAGGAGGATGGCGTCCTGGATCTGTGAACACACACACACACACACACACACACCACAATGATCAGATTTCACCACAGAAGTTACATTCAGAACATTTATCCGTTACTTCTCTTTGAGTCCTCCTGCTGCCAATCAGACTTCAAAACATCCTCCCTTCAGTCTGATCAATTACAGCCACTGGTTTATAGAACAAAGGTAACCACATTATTAATATTGGAAAACAAAATTATGAGCTGAAGTGAATTTTAAATCTGTTTTACGTGCAGCATTATAAACTCTGATCCAAGAATCTGAGGTGTGGCAGGCTGACCTACATCAGGGACACTTGAGTCGAATATACCAGGATCAATTAACACCGTTATCGGGTGTGGTCGACCTGTTTTTATTTCATCCATCCGATCCCTGTGTCCTCTGCTTCACCACAGCTTTTTTATTTTCTTGATTTTTTTGTTATGTTGAGAGATGCCAAAGTTGGAAACTGCTGATGCAACAAAGTAAATTTCCCTGCTATATTTTGTTAGTTTTGATTTGTTTTTAGGTTTACAGGGAAAATAGTTTTTTCCCTTTCTTCATTTTATGCATTTATGTATAAATTGACAACTACAACCATCTCACAACTTGTCATATAAAAAAAGTAGTTATAGAAAGTGAGTCCCTGGACGACAGCTTAGACTACAGACAGTGCACAACATTTCCCATAGTACCCCTCTTCCTCACCATTCCCTGCATCTCAGAGATGGTGGCGTAGAAGGCGCTGTAGTCCCTGGTGGAGGGGCCGACCTTGCTCTCCACAAACTGCTTGATCTTCAGCTCCAGCTCGCCGTTGGCCGTCTCCAGAGTGGCCACCTTGGCCAGGTAGGTGGCCAAACGGTCATTCAGATTCTGCATGGCGAACTTCCCGTTCCCGATGACGCTGTCGTCTGCAGCTGCGCCGCCACCAAAACCTGCACCAGCACCGAAGCCAAAGCCGCCACCGCCTCCACCACCACCACCACCAGCAGAGAAGGTCCTGCTGGCCCGGGAGACCCTCACACCTCCATCTATCGCTCCTCCTGCAATGCTGTACGAGCTCATGCCTCCGCCCATTGATGATCTTCCCATGCCCAAACCTGCGCCACCTCCATAGCTGCTTCCTCCACCCATCATGGAGTTCCGTGTGGAATAAGTGGACATCATTGTCATGATGATGGAGTAGGAAGAGGAGCCGTCTGTCTGTCTGATCTCCGGTGGAGGGAAAGAGGAGAGAAGTGAGGAGAGACGGATCAGCTTGCTCCTTTTAAAGCTGCTCAGTTGGGCTGAGCTGCAGGTAAGGGGCGGGGTCGAGGGTCCACACCCCCCACTTTTTACACTTTTGCACTGCACATATTTTAAAGTGAAATAAATCAGTCCATGCTGTAAGCTAGTTCAGACGTGTTTAAGGTATGTTAAAAAAAAGCTTCATGATTTCACTGCAGGACTTTGACTGTAAGGTTTCCTTGTCAAGCTTTGATAAATCTCCAATGAATGTCCTGCAGCTCATTCCAAACTCTGCAGCTACAAATGTAAAAACGAATTTAGTTTAAAACACTTAATCCCAGCATTAACTAGTTAATCACGATTAAATTATGTAATATCCACCATGACATCAAACATTTCATTTTTTCACTGTTTCACTTTTAGCGTTTTTTATTTAGTTTTTTTTCCAGAATCAGTTTTCTTTTTCTGTGGTTTAGTTAATGCACAGCTCTGGTTAATACATAATACGAAATATTTATTATAATACAGAAGTTACTTACCTCAACTATGTAATGCACATTAATTATCAGTCCACATAAACCCATTTTTAGAGAAATATAAACAAACAAAAATGTAAAACATTTTCTTATTGTGGTCAACCGCTCCCATACTTGCAGTGGGCCCCGAAGCACGCCACTCATCCCAACAACAACCCGGTCAACATCCTAGCTACCACCTAAACCGGTGAATTTCCTCAGGAAATACTGGGCTTCAACCTTAAAGTATTTATATGCGATTTTTCACACTTAAATATAATAGAAATCAAGTATCTCCTCTGAAAATAACTCTGTGAGTCATGACTGTCTACAATGGGTGTAACACCCGAGTCCCACTGTCTGTGATGTTTTCAGAGTTTTCAGAGTCCTATCTTCAGTTTGTTTACATCGCCTGGACGGCCGGCTGACTCCTCCCCTCGTGTATAAAAGTTGTTTAATTGAGGGACTAGAGAAAAGAAGAATAACATACTGTACTCACTGCTTAACTGTGTTTCTAGATCACGCTCATTTCAGGTAAATTTACATGCAGTGTGAAGATACCAGCATAATAAAGATCGCTAGCATTAGCATGCTAACACAACAATGCACCGCAAGTTGTTTTGGTTTCATGCTGGTGCTCAAGGGCGACATCTGCTGGATCAAAAAAAATCCAGATAAAGCCTTTAAACAACAGGAGGAGATGGAGGCCTGATGTTCATCTATATATATATATAGCCTATGGTGCTGACATCTTAATTAAAATGTCTGATATAACCAGAACAAGTCATCTGATGACCCCTAAAATGAACTGGTGAGGGGGCTGACCCCTAGACGATGGACAACTGCATAGCCCTTTTAAATTGCGTATTTCTTACTGGTGGAGTTTAATCTGTAATAAAACATGTGCAGTACCTTCAGCATTTGGATAAATCTAGTGGTGTGGTAATTGTAGTGAGTGGTGATTAGTCTGTTAGGGCCCTTGACAAGCAACGCCTCTGATTGTAGTAGCATTAAATGTGACCTCTACATGTTCTTGAGTACTTGTTGTACTCTCTGGCAGCGTGATGTAACACATGATCTCTGCAATTTTTTCTCTCCGTCAGCACAAAGAGCTCACAGAGCGGCAGCAGGGACTGAAACACCTCCTGGCAGCGAGCGCTCACCTGTCCGTCTGTCAGCGTCCCTCTTCAGGTGTGTTGCTCTGTGGGAAAACGCCCCTAGCTGACAAAGAGACAGCGCTTTTTTTTTTGTCGTCATGGCGACCTGGAGCTGTGCAGATCCCTGTGATCTGTGGTATGTTTGTGTGATGTATGTGTGTGTGTTTAGTGTGAACTCGCTGCTCTTTGGAGAACGTTTTACCGCTTTCTTAACACGCCTTGATTGTGACATCTGTGAGCCACAGGTGGCATGGATTGTCACATCAGAATAAACATGCCGCTCATGAACTTCATCCCTTAGTATGTGAGATGTTGTGAACATGTAAGCAGTGGTGGTGGAGGGAACTAGTCCTAGGTATCACCAGCTTTGAGTTTAATAAGGGGAATCAAGTCCCGGTGCTGACCACGTCTGGATATTGGTCTGGTAGCTGCAGAGGTGACGGTTCACTAGCACTGCTGAGTTGCCTCGAGCAAGGCACAAAACCCTCAACTGCTTAGACGCGCTTTCATGTACAGGTCCCCCTCACTCTAACACCTCTCCATTAACGCATGTCCATAGGATCCTCTTAGTGCATGTGTATATATCAGCCTATTTGTGTAGCATATCTCAAAAAACAGAAAAGTAATTTCCGATTGTGGTATTATAAAAGGATGTGAAGTACCGGTAAAGGATTTCTTCTTCTTCAGTGAAAGCTGCCACTCAGATGAAGACGCAGCTGAAACACAACGTCGGTAGTTGGAGTCCGTCAGAGAAATCCTGGCAATGATCTCATCAAATGGGTCATCAAACTGTCCACTGGTCAACGTCAAGTAGGTGGAAGCATCAGGAAAGAGAACAGAGAAGGAAGTTTAGTTTTAACTGTGAAGTGTTTCTCAGCTCTCTTATTTTTGAATGTTTATGTAGCCGTTGCTTACTTATTCTTGCAAAACATCTGCAGGGCCCTACAGTATATACACACATAAACCTATACTTCACAGTTTGAAGCTTAGGGCAACTAAGCAGGTTGTCGTTTGAGATTTCTGGGGCAGGTTTCACAAGATTCAAGTCTGACAACACTTCACATTTGAGCATTTTAGTTGTAAATTAAGGATCAGTATGTTCATTCTGTCTTTGTCTACAGATTGGACAATTAAGTTAAACCCCTCATATTATTGAAGAAAAAGTGTATGCAGAAACTTTGATTTTGGACCTCACTGCATTCAGAGTTAATCTGCTGAGCTGGCAGAAGTGTTCTGATGTGAGGAATGAAAAAAGCAAATTGATGGGCAATCTGCTGTCACACGTACCAGCATTAACCCTGCAGTCAGAAAAGCACTAATTCCTGTATGAGGAGCTGGACTTGCAGGCACATGTGTCTCTGCATGTATGTCTGTAGGTATTATGTTACCATAAATAGCTTCATACAGCTGCAGATGGAAGCTGTTTGAGCCAGCTATGCTCTCAAGGCTGAATTGACTCAGGTTTAATCTCGTTTTACTCTGTTGGTGCAAAATCAAATTATTGTTTTTACCCTATTATATTTCTTTGTATAATTGTATGTATTTATTAACAGCCCCGAATACAACCAAAGCCTGCTCTAATGTGGTTGCTCAATAGCTCTTGGAATTCTTTCAACACCAAAACTCTCGACCATTGTGTTCAAACTCTGAAAAAACAAACATCATCCTGATGGACAGATGAACCACGTTTCATGACAAATCACCCAACAGTTGTAGAGAACACATACAGAAGAGCTTGTGTGTTGTGGAGCCATACTTGGTTATAGGTTTTGGGGGTTCTCCATAGTTGTTGGTGGGTTTAGTTGGGGGGACATGGGCCAGGCACATGGGGGCAGCATTGGGATCGTGGGCATCCACTGTGGTGCCGGAGGGGTCAATGGTTCAAGGGGCAATTGGACATGGGGAATACGATTCTGTTTTGATACATTTTAGAATGGCCTCTTTGTTTCTCTCAGATGGCTTCAGGCTCTGCTCTGGGGACTTTGTAACCATCAAACTAAGCCACACCTTATATCTGAATGACTTTAAGCTCTGTAAAGCATCTGTCAGTCAACTTCAGCAACGGGCTTAACTATCCATTTTCTTTCCAAGTTACAACAGAAACCAATGTGAAGCAGATCACAAGTCTAAACCAACTCTGAAAATTATATAACAACTAAAATTGAAACCCAACAGTCAATCCAGTTATTTTCCATGTTTTACAGATATTGTTTACTTAAGTCCTGTTTCCACCAAGCAGTTTAGTTTGGTTCAATACAGATTGGTATGGTTTGATATGGTAACCCCTGATCTTGCTTTCATTCCCACATCCAACCTTACCCATGCAGGGTGTAAGCCGGGTGGTGATAGCCGCATCAGCTACGTAATTTCCCCTCCTGAATTAATAAAGTATTCAGAAATAGCATGACATCATAGCAGTGTGACACAGTGTAGCCCCCCCAATAAATTCCATGAAGAAGAACTGGACAGTAAACAAAGATCAATGATACCGAAGGTCTGCACCTCAGAGGTCGCCCATGGGGCAGTGCAATTATGACATTACTCACAAAAAAAATCCTTGAAATTGCTGTCTAGAAATCCAGGGGATATTTAAACACAGAGTTTGTCCTCTATTACCACTGCCCACAATCAACGAGCTGATTTGTATCGAGCTACACTCTTTAGGGTCAGTTGGTATGCTTGGCATCTTTACAGAACGGTAGCAAAAAGTAGAACCGTTGGTTGGTTATTTTGGTACCACTCCTGACTTTTGAAGCTGAAAATGTCCAAAAATTGCATTTAATGATTCTAATCCTGCTAACCTGCTCACCAAGCGGCAACCTACAGTGTTGGTTGAATGAATCTAATGCGGAAGTGCGAAACACTGGACACAAACACTACCCCACTGGATCTGTTACTGAAGCGTAAGCAGCGGGCAAACAAGTAATTGTCATAAAAAAAGGGTTATGGTACTACATGACTTTTTTTTCAAATTAAAAAAATACCAGCCACTGCAGCGACTCTCGTTCCACAGTAGTTCTATTCACTGCACATGCGGTTTTGATGGGAACAAAAAAAATAAATAAAAAATAACAGACAAAAAGAAAGGCACATGTCATGTTTACTTTTTTCTTATAGTTTCAAAGTAATATTTAGTTTAAAAAGTAGTTGCTCGGTAAATAATTATGACCAGATAGAGGTGCACAACATTTTGCATTCTTTATGCTTCATTTCTTTTCGAACTGTTAAATTCAGTCAGTAGAATTGTCTTTTTTATTTTATTTTATTGTTCTGTCCACATTTTCTTCTCTTCAAATGCCTTAAGGAAAAAAATGAGCCATAGGCAGATTGGCATGATGACAGAAAATATCAGATTTATGAACAGACTGCAGCGT